CCTGCCTTACAAGAGCTCCTGGAGGAAGTACTAAACATGGAAAGGAACAACCAGTACCAGCCACTGCAAAACATGCCAAATTGTGAAGACCATCAACACTAGGAAGAAACTGCGTCAATTAATGGGCAAAATAACCAGCTAACATCATAATGACAGGATCAAATTCACACATAACAATATTAACCTGAAATGTAAATGGGTTAAATGCCCCAATTAAAAGACACAGACTGGCAAATTGAATAAAGAATCAAGACCCACCAGTGTGCTGTATTCAGGAGACCCATCTCACATGCAGAGACACACATAGGCTCAAAATAAAGGGATGAAGGAAGATCTACCAAGCAAATGGAAAAAAAGAAAAAGCAGGGGTTGCAACCTTAGTCTCTGATAAAACAGACTTTAAACCAATAAAAATCGAAAGAGACAAAGAAAGTCATTACACAGTGGTAAAGGGATCAATTCCACAAGAAGAGCTAACTATCCTAAATATATATGTACCCAGTGCAGGAGCACCCAGATTCATTAAGCAAGTCCTCAAAGACCTACAAAGAGACTTAGACTCCCACACAATAATAATGGGAGACTTTAACACCCCACTGTCAATATTAGACAGATCAATGAGACAGAAGGTTAACAAGGATATCCAGGACTTGAACTCAGCACTGCACCAAGCAGACCTAATAGACATCTACAGAACTCTCCACCCCAAATCAATAAAATATACATTCTTCTCAGCATCACATGACACTTATTATAAAATTGACCACATAATTGGAAGTAAAGCACTCCTCAACAAATGTAAAAGAACAGAAATCACAACAAACTGTCTCTCAGACCACAGTGTAATCAAATTAGAACTCAGGATTAAGAAACTCACTCAAAACCACACAACTGGTATCGAACTCCTGACCTCATGATCCATCTGCCTCAGCCTCCCAAAGTGCTGGGATTACAGGCTTGAGCCACTATGCCTTACCCAAGGTTAACATTTATATGTGAGTTTTTGATCCTATCATGACGTTGTCAGCTGGTTCCTTTGTAGTATGTATTGTGTGGTTGCTGTATAGCATCTCTGAGCTATATTTAACTGTATTTTTGTAACAGTAGGTGTTGTTCTCTTATTTCCATGTTTTGAACTCTCTTAAGCATCCCTTAAGGTTGGTCTAGTGGTAACAAATTTTCTCAGTAACTGCTTGTCTAGAAAATATTTTTTTCCTGTTTGCTTATGAAGCTTAGTTTGATGGGATAGGACATACTGGGTTGGAATCTATTGTCTTTAAGAATGCTGAGGTTATCCTCATGAAAATGTTCTCACTAATATGGTATGTACAATAGTGCACCATGCAGTTTGTTTTTATTTTATGTTATTTTGTTTTTAATTTTACCCAAGTGAGACCCAAGTTGATTTATTTTTTATGGGAATTTAATGAGAGAGAATTTCTTGATTTTCCACATCTGTAGGGTGCAGACCTGTGTAGTGAAACTACCCACAGCAAGGATATATGCCTGTTAGGTGGCACAGACCCGAGACCCGATGGATAAGACTTGGCCTTCATCCTCCTCTTGTCCTGATGAAATCTCACAGCTCCAGACAACACAGACACAAAACATTGATCAACAGTAAGATGGCTTGAAGAAATGCTTCTTTCAGGACAAATTCTTTCTGTGCATTCCATGAGGTAATCAGTATAGTATATAGCTATATATTTGCACCATTTTGAAGTCCACTACAACAGAGTTTTAAAATGCTGCGTTTAGTGAGCATTGCCAATAGAGTCTTCAAGATCATCAATCTTAAGTCAAGAAAATTTAGAAAGTACTAAAATCTTAGCACTCACATGAAAGAAAACTGGAAGCTTTTCCAAATTAGACAACAATCAGAAAAATTTGCATAATATTACCAATCTGAGTTTTGAAGCAGAAAGAAAATGTTATAAACCATGATTTTCACAAGTAGGATTGATTGTAGTATTTCATAATTTTGGATGATTATAGTATTTATCAGAATTTTAAAGTGATCAAATTTAGTGGAAAGACTGGTTTATCTTTCTGCTATATTTACAGAAAATTCTATTATAAAATCAATGTCATGTGATGAAGCAAATAGTGACTCAATAGTTGAGTATGAAAACGTAGAATTAACTTTTTACACTGTTGTGTCAAGTAGTTAATTAATAAAAATGTTAGGTTAGCAAGTAAAAAGAACACAAATTAAGGAAGGGCAAATCTGCCCTTCCATCTGCAGGGTGGATGGATGGACTGACGGGTCAAAGCCAGTGACATCACGAGCAGGAAACCATGCTTCTCTCAAGCTGCAGGTTTGAAATGTCAAACAGCCTCTTCCTTGGCTGATGGCTGCTTTCTGACTCAATGGAAGACCTTGTTCTCTAGCGTCAGGGCTGTCAGAATCTTTGCT